GTTTTAAAGTGCTGGTCTTGAATGATGCAGTTTTCTTTCACACGTTTCCCTTCAGGCATCAGTAATAAGAGATAAATTCTCTTATTTATGCTTCCATACAAATACAATCCCTACATTGAAAAAGGAAAAATCTCAAACATTTATCAGTGTCAAGAGACCACTCATCATTTTTGTGGCCCTCCTCTGGACCTGCTCCAACAGGTCCATGTCCACCTTGTGCTGGGTGTCCTAGAGTTGGACTCAGCACTCCAGGAGGGGTCTCTTGAGAGCAGAGCAGAGGGGGAGAGTCACTCCACTCCATCCAGTGGTCATGTTACTTTTGATGCAGCACAGGACACATTTGACTTTCTGGGCTGGGAGTGCACATTGCTGGGTTATGTCCAGCTTCTCAGCCACGGGTATTCCCAGTATCTTCTCCACTGCTTTCAATCCATTCATCCCTCAGTCTATATTGATACTGGGCACTGCCTCAAGCCAGGTGCAGGACAATTTTAAGTTTCATGATGTATGTACATGCCAACTCCTCAAGCCTGTCAAGATCCTCTGGATGGCATCCCATCCCCTTTATCAATTGAACCACTCAGCTTGGTGTCACACACAGACTTCCTGAAGGTGCACTCTGTGTCACTAAGATTAAATACTATAGGCCCCAAAACACACCTGTGGGAGGATACCACTCAGCACTGGTAGCTCTTTGGTTGCAGTCATACAATTCCTTGCCATTTAATAGTCCATCCACCAAACCCACATCAATTTAGAGGCAAAAGCACTGGAAGGGACAGTATTAAAGGCTTTACAGAAGTCAAGTGACATCTCTTACCTTTCCTTTGTCCCCTGATACAGCCACTCCATCACAGGCAGCCACTAGATTAGTTGGGCATGATTTGCTCTTGACAAAGCTGTGTTGGCTGTCTCTAATCACCTTCACACAATCACCTCTCATATGCTTTGAAGTAACTGCCAGCAGGACCTGCTCCATGATCTTGTTTGGGCACAAAGGTGAGGCTGGTCAGCAGTTCCCAGGGTCTGGGTGTGATAATCCCTTCCCTCCAGTGCCTGAGATACTGTTACAGGACAGTAGTCAGTGTCACTCCAGCCACTGAATGATAGTCAAAGCCTGATTATCATGACTTTTCAAATATGATTGAGACATGGCTCAGCCATCACACCTACCAATTCCCTCAGAACCCCAGGATGCTTCTTAGACTAAAAGTAACATCATATGTATTCCAAATCATCTTTGTATTTCAAATTGTTATGTACCTACTTGATACTCTTTTCCATTCTCTTGCTGCTGTTGACAAACAGACTTTAATGGGATTTTGATAAGAAAATTTCAACAGAAGCAAAAAAACCAACACTACTCCACAAGTTATTTTATAGGTTTAATATTTATTTTATTTTCATAGCCATGTTGATGTAGGAGAAAAGATCATAAGGTATAACGATTCTACAACAGCCAGACAGACTGCAATTAAATCTTTGTGCCCTCGGACTACATTCTCCTCCTACATGTCGGTGGGTGAATACCCAACACCACCCTGGCAAAGCAGATCTCACACTCCCCTCTAGTGACAGAGTACGACCTCCTGAGGCCTCTCAGCAGCCTGGACAGCTCTGCTGCTAACAGAGTTGCTCCCAATAGGATGCCACATAATTACAGCTGGAGCTTTTAGCTTTATTTTAAAGTAGGATTAACACTAAGCTAAAGTACCTCATTTCTGACATGAAATAATTTTTTGTGGGCTACTATATTCCTAGTATATTTGCCCCTTATGCTCATGTATTGTTTTATATTAATTACACTAATTAGGATTTCATAATAATAATAATTTATGTGTGCATTGCAGCATACATGCACCAAGGTTATCACGTTTATCCATGTATCCTTGAATTCTAGACATCATTTTACTAATTCTTTTCCTGCAGTGAACATGCAGTCAGCACAAGCCTGGAATTACCATCTTAAAGTGCTCTTCTCTAGATATAATTTTTGTTCAGACATATACTACCTTAACACAGTGCTCAGAAAAAAAAAAAAAATCTCCATAGCTGCTGAAACAGCAGCCTGCTGACACATGATGCTTGGAACATATTTCCTGAGGCACCATTTATCATTGTCATCACAGTGCACAACAACTTATTACAGTAAATTGCTCTTGCATATCATAACCTTAAAAAGACAATGCCAACTCATAGTTGCATTATTAGGAGTTACAATAATCTTAAAACAATTCTAAAAATAAAATCTATACATACTAATGAGGGAACATAATCATCATAAAAACTGTTACCTGCCAGCTCTATAACTACAGTTACTATAGCTAATTACACGTCTGCAGTAAAGGAATACTTTGCTTCCTATGAGCATTTGGGAGTCTTCAAAGCACTCTCAGCTGAGAAGAGCCAGGAACTGACTAACATTGTAAGCCCCACAATTTGAGAAACACTCATCTATCAATTCATAGAAAGAGGGACGCCAACCTCCCTCTCTCCAAAATCACAGTCCTTCCTTTGCTTTATGCCTATCACCTGGCAATTTATAGTCCAGGAATTCTGTGGGCAGGTAGAGATTCCAGTTTATTGCTAGCATACCAAAATTAGTAAAATATACTGAGCTGCTGGAAGACTAGCAGCTCTAAAGAAAGCAAAAGAAAAGGATTCAGTAGGACTGGGAATTGTGATTCAGCTCAGTTTCTAAAGAAGTAACATGTTTCTGACCACTGGGTTTTGAGGGGCTTCCAGAACAGATCCAAACCCGAAAACACAAGGTACAAGAAATACTGAAAATGAGCAGCACACAATTAAAGCATCAGGGATGGTACTTTCTCTCATTCAGGAGATGAGAGGACACAGAATAAATTAAGATCACACAAAGTTTGGTACTAGCCCAGAGGGATAGAATCTAAATGTAGTCTCCCTGATGAGACACATCATTCACAGCTGAAAAAACCTGTCAGAAAAAAAGATAGTTGGAAAAAAAAAGTTGAGAAAGGCTGGAAGACTTTAATAATGGTGAAGAGGTCAGTTTAAGTTTAACTATTAACTTACTTCCTGTAGTGGGGTACAGTGCAGAACATTTAAGTCTTATCATTACCAACTTTTTTTAATGCTACATTTTACTTTGTGATCTAAATCATGGGATTAAAAAGAAAGGATGGGAGTGTGAGCTATGTATAAGGAAAAAAACCTCAAAACTCCACTAATAAGCCAAATCAAAAACAAATAATGGCAGAAAACCTGTAGCTTTTGCTAGGTCCCACCACTTATTTTTTTAAAAGGGTTTCATACTGTGAAGTCAAAATGGGAAATTATCAGCCTACATAACCTCAATATAAGGAGTGCTAGTCGATTTTCATGTAAACTGCCCTACATATTTGTGATAATCCTACTTTTTTCACCACTTTCAAAGTTATTATTTTAAATGCACATTTCATGGTTAAACACAGTTTATTTGGAACGTTCCTATAAGTGACAATTCTTATATGTTGGCCTAATTACTGACCTGATTCTCTAGATGTAAAAGTTCAGTGTCAGAACAACCAGTAAAAGGCAGACTGGATTTAAAAAAGAAAGAAAGGGTAATTGCAGTATGAGTTACTTCTTCAGGAGCACTCGCATATCGAATGACAGCTTTGACATCACAGTCCTTCTCTTTGCTAATTGCCGTCAGCCCTGCTCTTACTCGCACAGCTATGATGGGAGCAGTACTTTTCCAGCGAGGCTGGCTCCCTCACCTAGCTTCCCATGAAGCTGCACAAACATTCACAGCACTACTAACAACAGCGTTGCAGCGTTGGGATTTTCTTATTTTTTGCTTAAGGTAGGTGCAGTTTTTTAGAGTATTAAAGGTCTGTTAAAAGACCACTCCGTATGACACAGACGCGAGTGCCAACTTAGAAATGTAGAAAGTCTGACCAAAATAAACAACTGAAGAAAAAGAAGACAAGAGGCCAAACTACTTAAGGTAGTTTAATACAAAATCAGTCTGAGGTTTAAAACACATCTGCCCTGCATAAATTTGCGTCACAAAATCGAGGTAACGTGGGTCAGACCTTCCGCTAGCCGAGCATCCCACCTATGTCTGCGGCTCCGCCGAGCCGCGCCCCTCGCTGAGAGCTCAGCCCCTCACAACCGCTGAACCGCCGTGTCGCGACCCCCGGAGAGCCTGGGAGTGTTTCATTTTCCCTGGGGAAGCGGCCCCGCTCCAGCGCCGCCGGGCCGTGAGGGGGGGGTCGCTGCGGCTTTAAGAGCACCCGGCGCGGCCCCGCCCCGTGCAGCGCGGCCGCGCATGGGCGGATGGGGAACCGCGCTCTTGGCGCGGCGGATGAATCCGGGGCTCGGCCGGCCGCGCCTGCAGCGCGGGGCTCTCGCGGGCCGCTCCTCCCCGCTCCGCCCATGGCCTCCCCGCTGGTAAGGGCTCGGCCCCCGGCGACGGCCGCGGTAGCCAGGACGGCGGGCAGGCGAGCCGCGGCCGGCGGGGGGCGGCCCGGGGCGCGGGCGG